AAAAAAAAAAAAAAAAAAGCAAAATGTTTTTTTTTTCCCGGAAAGTAAAAGAGAATTCTTTGGCTTAAAAAAAATGAAATGTTAAAAAATAGCCCAGACAATAAATCCAGGGTATAAATTCACCTACTATTATTTAGGGAATAAATATAAGTTCCCCATGGTTGGTGAAATATGTGAATAGTTGGGGTTTTGTTTTTGACAATAAGAAAATCTCTCATGTTTTTTTTTTTTTTTTTTGTGTTAGATGAGGGTTGTGAATAAGGCTTCATTCACCACCGACTAAGGTGGTCTAGTAAGAGTACCGGTTGAACGTCTCATCCTGAGATTAAAGGTTCGAGTCTTAGAGTTCACATTGAGATTCGGTGATTGACTATTATGTTAGTCTAACTAAGTTTGTTTTCAATAGGTGTAACGGACTTGGTCACGGGCCTCATAATCTCACTAATAAGGGCCTCTTAAGGGTGGTCTGGATGCTTTCCTTTGCTCTCACCTTTATTTTGCCAAGCAGAAATAAGAAAAAAATAATAAGGCTTCATTTGGGGTGGTTATGTGCATTGTAAATGTTCCTAGTTAAAATTTTAGTAGCTGCACTGATTTTCTCTCCTTTGCCTATTGGGAATACATTTTATATAATTCTTGAATAAATATTCGAGTTATTGTAATGATTTATTTTAGATTTATTTTTATGTAATTTGTAATTTATTTGGTTGCAAATTATTCTCTCAAGTATGATAGATGAATAATGTAAGGGTAAATTTCACTCACACCTTGACATTTGATCAAATAGCACAGACACCCTTGGACATTACAAAAATAATATGGTGACCCCTAACATTCATAACTTGTTACAAAAACACTCCTCGCATATAATACCCGTTAAAATTAATCCTTATATTATCTCTTATGTTATCTTCACCCTTCAATTTTACTTCTCAATTTTCCTTCAACATATCCGTATTTCATAATTAGTTCGTAAACTTTTCAATTTTTCTTAAACATATGTGTATTTGATAATTAGTAGGGAGATTTTTTGGTATCTCTTGATTATTACAGAAAACTAATTAGGTATAATAATAACTAACACTCGCAAATAGTTTTTTTTTTAATTGTAACTCTCAAATTGTTTATATGTAACGCATCTGTAAACCAATTAATAGATTAAAATTGGACGTAGTTGTATTAAGCCAATAGAAATTTAGTAGAATTTCATGATTTTGCAATCCAAGATTTTTCTAGAAGAATTCATCTAAAATTGAAGAATATATAAAGGTTTGGGAAATGTATGCAAATATTTTGAAATTAGAGCCCCCCACTTTTAATTTGCTATTTTTCGTTGTTATTTGCTTCATTGAAAACAAAGAAAATGAAAGGAAAATAAAGCGGCTAAAAGGGGGTAAAAAAAAAAAGTAAAACACTCACAAAGCCTTGTGTGAGAGTAAAACACAAGCAAATGATCGTCTCGCTTCAATCTTTTTCTCATTGTCACTTTAATCCTTAAAATTTTTGAATCTATATGTTTAGATTGTCCGGTCATGGACACATATAAATAATAGAATTAATAATTTAGAGACCAAAATTGTTCACGACTCTAAGATCCAAAAGTGTGCACATTATATTTTTTGTTACCAAATTAAATACCTTTTTATCGGACAATTGGACATATGCTGGAATTTTAAATTGTAAAGCTAAAAACTGATCAAAGTAAGGATTAAAGTGAGATAGTTTATAAAATATATTTTTCCAATTAGGTAAAAATTGACAACGGGGATGGTGGTCGAGTGGCTTACGGTGCTTCATTTAGGGTCTTCCCTTGGCTTACATGAGGTTAGTAAACAACGTTTGATTTACGAGTGCCCTTGTTATGCACATTATCAATTTTATGTTGTGCGGAAAGACGGAAGGCTATGACTTGAGTTAGCCCTTGAGAGTGCCTATAATTTTTTGCAGTTTTGGTTCAGCTGCTATGATCACTCCTAGACAGATGTTTTACCCCCGATTATCCCTTGAACTAGACAAAAAAAAAAAAAAGGTGAAAATTGGACTTGGTTGTCTTAGGCTAAAGAACTTGAATTAGACTTCTTGGACTTGTCCCAAGGAATTCCATGTAGATGTTGAAATGAATAAAGAATCAAAGATTAGGGTATTTTTTTTTTTCAAATATTTTGAAAATTGAAGGCCATAACTATAATTTTGTATCAAAAAAGAAATTTTGAAAAATAATTAGGGGTGTCAATTTGGGTCATGTGACCTATATGTCATATATATTTTTGTGTCGTGTTCGTATCAAAATTTTTGAAAAAAAAATTATTTAATATATTTTAAGTGTCAAATATTAATTTAAATTATTTATTATATGAATTTAATAATTGTGTCGTGTGCAATTCTTATTGCATGTTGAGATTGTATTAACGGGTTAACAGTAACGGGTCGCAGTTCACTCCATTAAAAATAGTGTAAAAGAGGGAGAGAGCTCGAGAAGCGGCTGAAATAAAAAACACTCGGAACACTCCTCACGACAGAACAAGTGAGAGAAAAACCCTACCTCTACTTCACGCTACTACCATTCACTCCTACGCCGGAATCTGACCGCTGGCTTCCCCCTCTGTCATTTCCACTGCTCCTCTTCTCTCTCTCTAACCTTCTTCACTCCCAATGGCAACTATGCTGGTACGAGCTCTCTCTCTCTCTCTCTCTCTCTCTCTCTCTCTCTCTCTCTCTCTCTCTCTCTTCTTTGTATATATATCGTTGTATGCGTGTATGTTTAACGATGGTTCGTGTTTTTTGAGGATAGTACGTGGATCTTAGAAGTTTAATTTTGGTCAGTTTCGTTGGTTTTTTTTGAGCACTCAAACAGGTTCTGATTTCTTACTCGTAGTTGATAGATCTATGTGCGAGTGGCTGTGTGTGTATGTATGTGTAAATATAGTTGTTACGGCTGTGTATTTTTCTTGCGTTATGGGAATGGTTTACCTAAATATGGTCCGGTTGGTTTCTGAGGAAATGTGAGGAGAATCGAAAAGAAAATCCAAATTAACTACACACTTAATCTCTGGCATCATATTTACAAAGTGTCTGTCCGTCACAAAACTGTGAATTTAATTTGTGTAGTTTTGCAACCCCAGAAAACGAAGTACTCCATGGGTCCATGCAACTGAGCCTAGAGCAACTATGTGGTTCTGTTCATGAGATATTTATAATTGTTTCACTTCCAGAGGAAAAACATGAAAATGGATCTGTCAAAAATCATCTGCTCCCGCTTTCTATGTTATCTTGGCAGCATAGGGAGACTATTTCTTTCTCTATAAGAAATATCCCTTTGAGTATCTCAGTAAAAAATTGTTGTTTTTGGTGAGATCAACAGCAACCTCAGATCTTATTGCTGAAAGAAGGGACAGACACGTCACAAGGGAAGGCGCAGTTGGTGAGCAACATAAATGCGTGTATGGCAGTGGCCGATGTTGTTCGCTCCACGCTGGGGCCAAGAGGTATGGACAAGCTCATCCATGATGAAAAGGGCAACACCACCATTTCGAATGATGGTGCCACCATAATGAAGCTTCTAGATATTATTCACCCAGCAGCAAAGATCCTTGTTGACATTGCCAAGTCGCAAGACTCTGAGGTTTTGCCATATTGCTATAATTTTGGTTGTTGCTGTTGGTGTTCTTCTGTTAAATTTTGATGAGTAATTGAAAGTAATTTCCATGCTAGTTACAACAGGCGAAATTGTGTGAGATTACCTCTTATTGAGTTTAAAGGGTAATTGTTTTAATTTGTTCGCAAATGCTAGGTAGAAAACTAGACATTATGGCTCTATGAGTCTGTATTGTTTTCTTGCCGATAGTGGATGCTTGAGTCGTGATATATTTTTATTAGTTAGATAATGTTCTAGTTATTATTAGTAGTATTTTTATTATTATAGTTGTATGGTCGCCATCATTATTACTGTTATTATTACTAGCATTTTGAGCAGTATTTGGATTTACAAAGAGAAAGTGGGGCTGTTTTTAGTTTTGATGCAAGTAGAAAATGCTCTTAATTCTTCGAGCTTGAAAATTTGCCATCCAAATAGCTGTTTCAAATTAACTAACAGTTTCAAAAATAATCTTCCAAGCTGATCCCCACTCCAAAACTTGGATCTAATTTCTTAGACTTGACAATATCTTTTACCAATCACAAACAAGCAAGGAGAGACAAAACAAGGGATCACTCTTGTTCAGGTGTGTAGATAAATGGCCATTTGTTAGGGAGAAGATGTTAGGATAGAGAACAGAGTATATGAATCTCCAATAAGTCGGCCCCGGCTCAGTCTTATGCAGATACTTAATTTATGTGTCCGTAACTCATTTTTCTTCTTTTCTAATCTCCTGGTACCAAAAAAACTAACAAAAAGAAAAAAGAAAAAGACAATCATTTTATGTGGTGTTTGGTTCATGTCTGAAAATTGGTTTCCAATTTATGATCAAAAAAATGAAATGAATGGAAAAGGCCAAAATTTACTGATGCTGACATTGAACTCTTTGATGGTTCACTTGATGCTTGTTATACTGCATGATAAGAATCATTGGTTATTTGATGATGTTGATTTGCTTGGCAATGGCTGATTATCTGCTAAAAATTGCTTCATGGGCCCTTCCTCCTAAGTCGAGAACTTGTATACTTTCTGGTTGTGCAGGTTGGTGATGGAACCACTACAGTTGTTCTTCTTGCAGGGGAGTTCTTGAAGGAGGCTAAGCCTTTTATTGAGGATGGAGTACACTCGCAAAATCTGATACGGAGTTATCGCACTGCGTCCTATTTGGTATGGTTTTTCAGCCTGTTCTTCTGGTATTTACATTACTGGTTAGCGTGTTAGGTTAGGGTTCATTATTATGCGTCTCTAACATTTTTAGTATGCAATAGGCAATTGAGAAGATCAAAGAACTAGCGGTTAGTATAGAGGGAAAAAGTTTAGAAGAGAAGAAAAATTTACTAGCAAAATGTGCTGCTACAACACTTTCCTCTAAGCTTATCGGTGGAGAGAAGGAATTTTTTGCATCGATGGTTGTGGATGCTGTCCTTGCAATAGGAAATGATGACAGACTGAATATGATTGGAATAAAAAAGGTACACATGTTTTTGGCATTGGGCCTTGAATTTCTGTGTATCTTTACCTCTTTTGTCTAGGAAAAAGTGATTGTCAATGCTTATGTAATCAAATGGACATGGATGTGATCTTGACATGATAACAATACTCCCTACAAGTCTTGTTCATTATCTTAATGCATTCCTCAACTTTTGTACTTGAGAATAGACCCATTTAGAAGACTTCAGTTAACCCCCCAGCCTTCTGCGGAGAAAACATTGTATATGCTCTATTGGTGTCCATTACACTTGTAATAGCTCACATTATTCATTTTTGATAAAATCAGAAATGCTTAGCGACCAAAAGTGCTCCAAAAATAAATTTCTTGCTCTCTCATTCTCTCCCTCACACATACACACAAAAAACATGCTGACCACACACACAGACACTTGACACACAAAAAGACATCCATCCTTCAAAAGATAATGGAAATGGAAAAATTTGCATATCACATATTTTCTTAATCTGGTAAAGGCATATAACTAGCCTTATCAACTGAATTTCTTCTGGCTAGCTATTTTTTGGAAGAAAAAGAACAAATGATCTGATTGTGAAGATTGTAGATTGGATGTCCCGCATTTCTGCAAGATCTGCCTCCATGGCATGCTCCAGAACCAAATCTGGCCTAGCAGTTGATATGCAGGAGATGAATTTGGAAGTTTTAAAAAGCTTGTCCAATTTAGAATTGGACATATACAACATTGTTAGTGCCACTAATACATTATTTTTGAACCTTTGGAGTGTGACTAGACAGCAGAAACTTGTCATGCATGACCGAAGCTGTTCTAGTTATTGGCTTTTTGAACTTGGACCTTAAACCCAGATCAGACCCTGCAATACTGATTTGTCTAAATTAGGTGGTAGAAACTGGTAGTCATTTAATATTCGAAATTTCAACCAGTGGTGCATACCAAATACATTTGTATGGATATTTTTTGTATCTGTGTTTCTGTATGTGTTACCCCTACTTCCATTTTGTTCCAGTCTTCCGACTCTTTTATGAAATAATTTGAGTTGTTTCACTTGTTTAGTGCGAAAATTTTGCATGCTTGGATTTTCCCTTTAGTTGAACTTTCTGATTAGTGTAGGTCTTATGGCTATCAATGTTTGTGTATAGCTGTGTGTAATCCAAAACTTGTTTTCTTTTTTAGGTTCCTGGAGGTAACATGCGAGATTCCTTCCTTGTGAAAGGTGTCGCCTTTAAAAAAACCTTTTCATATGCTGGTTTTGAGCAGCAACCAAAGAAGTTTGTGAATCCCAAGATACTCTTACTAAACATTGAATTGGAACTGAAATCAGAGAAAGAAAATGCTGAGATAAGGTTGGAAAGGTTTGGCTGTGTTTGAATATATGCTGGAACAAGTGCTTATCAGACCCAACTGTTGTTCTTGTTTCAGACTTTCAGATCCGGCACAGTACCAGTCAATTGTTGATGCAGAATGGAATATTATTTATGACAAGCTGGATAAATGTGTGAAGAGTGGGGCCAAAATTGTTCTGTCACGGTTGGCTATTGGTGATCTAGCCACACAGGTGATGGCCTACTCATTTTTACATTACTTTAAGTTTGATCCATATTATGCATGGAACTTCTGTGATATATGCTAATTTTCTCAAAATTTTATATTTTTTAACTAGGAGCACTAAAGTTGTCTTCTTTGTTCCACAATTTGTCATGAACCATCATAATTTGATGAGTATATCTTTCCAATACATATGTGTACTTTAGTGTATTAAAGTTTCAGGTGAATGTAAGCTTCCAACTCTTGACAGAGGGTGTGGCATGATGGCCCTTATCCATAAAAAAAAAAAAGATTCTGTAACTCCAATGTTGACACCTGCCTCACATGAATGTGTGTGGGTGGAAAAAAAGAATGCCGCTGTTTTGCTGGGTTTACCTCTTTGCTCTATAATTTCTTCCAGCTCTGTAGTTTGAAATTGTTGTGGAGGAACATAGACATTTGGCAATTTTACTGGAGAGTATTATTAGCATATCTCTTAAATTGCTTGTTTTATCAGTATTTTGCAGATCGAGATATATTCTGTGCGGGTCGTGTAACTGAAGAGGACTTGCAGCGTGTTGCAGCTGCTACTGGTGGAACTGTACAGACATCCGTCAACAATGTTATTGACGAGGTTTCTCCCTTGCTGTTTGTCGCACAGATTAGAAAACAAAGACTACTTACTATCTGCACATATTTTTTTCGTTTTTCAATCCTACTGAAAATGTAGAGCTTTATGTCATTCAGGTTCTTGGATCCTGTGAGCTTTTTGAGGAGAGGCAAGTTGGGAATGAGAGGTTTAATATATTTAGTGGATGCCCATTGGGTCAGACAGCGACTATTGTCCTCCGAGGTGGGGCTGATCAGGTGGGTCATTATCATTGAAATGTAAAGTTCTGTATGTATTATTCTACTGATTCTGATGTTTGTCTTGATTGATCTTTCAGTTCATCGAGGAAGCTGAGCGGAGTTTACATGATGCGATCATGATTGTTAGAAGGGCTATGAAGAACTCTACTGTGGTTGCTGGTGGTGGTGCCATTGATGTATGAGTTTGTCACTACTTTTCGGATCCGAACATTTCAGAGTTAAGAATACTTAATTTTTAGCATTAAAATGTTGTCCTCTTTTGTAGATGGAGATAAGCCGATACTTGAGGCAGCATGCACGAACAATTGCTGGGAAGTCTCAGCTTTTTATTAACTCTTATGCCAAAGCTCTTGAGGTTGGTGTTTATTAAGCACTGGTGTTTTCCTTCCATGAGAATTTTGTGCTCAATTTATTTAAACATGCCACATTGCTATTTTTTTATATGATTAAGTGTGTAATGTGAGAATTTTGATCTTTCGGGGTGTGAAGTATCCTTCATTTTTTATTTAGTAATCTAAATTCCTATAATTTTTGATAAACAGAAATAGAAAGCTTATCAAATCCTGTTCTTATAAAAGCTATTGTAACATAACACGCATGAAACAATAACAGAGATTAAACTAAAAGTGTGGCACTGGCGTGTCGCGGAGAGATGTTTATTTGTTGGTGCCGCAATGTCAGAACCCTCAATCCCACGAGAAAACAATGGAAATCTGGTCCGCCTTGTCTCATGTTCAATTGGAATGTTTTTTACAACTTTTCTTTTGCGCCGATCTTTTTTATTTTCTTTGTTTTTGTTTGATCTAGCTCTTTTGTGCTAGTGAGTTAGAATTTGACCTAAGGGAGCAAGCCTCCTGAATAAGCTACTTTCTCTCCTACACTCTGTATTATGTATGTGTATTTTCTGTTTTTGTTTGTGTATTTTTGCCTTTGCTTGTGATATGTTCTTTTCAGACGGAGTCATTGATTTACAAAGCCTAAGCTTGGCCCTTAGTTCTAATGATTCATGGCAGTATGGTCCTAGAAACTGAAAAGACAACTTCTCATTTGCACACAAGCTATCAATCAAGCCTTTGTTTCAATACTCTTCTTTATAAAGAGCAATCCGGCACACATGGACAAGTCTGGGATAGGACATGTGAAACCCTGTTTAACAGTGATTACATAATTAATAAATTCGAAAAAATGTATTGATAGAATCTGCTGGTTAAGATCATAGATTATAACATAGCAAGCCGAGTGCTGCCAGTCTATCTCACAGCTGAAGCTTGGCTCGATGGACCAGATTAGTTTACTTTTGTTTGAACCAACTCAACTGATTTTATGAGCAATCCTGATCGAGCCTTAGTGAGTGTGCCATCAATTATCAGACCTAAAAGTATAATCTGTTGTATGCTAGCATTTCATAAGACTCTGAAGTTTAGCAAAGGTCATAAGACAGTGAAGTTTAGCAAAGGACACAAGAAGAAAATGCATACAAATTTTAGCAAATTTTTTTTTTTTTTTGGGGTCATGAAATGTGGATGTTTGCTTTGTTGTCATGTTTAGACGAGTTAAAGTCTTGAGGTAGTTTTTAAAAGGTAGCATGAGCCACTGCTGTAGTTTTTGTGATATTTCCCTGTTGTATATGGTTTGCACTCTGCTACTTGTAGTTGCTTTGAGTTTTTACTTTTAAAATTTTTAAACCCCACCCGGCCAAAATGAAAAAAAAAAAAGAAAAAGAAAAAAGAAAGGAAAACCGATTGAAAGGATAAAAAAAAGAAAAAAGAACACAATAGTTGCATGTTAGAGTGCACTATCCTTCTTAAATAAATAGCTTTACCCTACTATTTAGCAAGTTTAACTATTTCTTAAAAATTGATTGGGTGAATTGGTTACCTATAATTTTTTATACTTTTGTTCCAATACTAATGGTAACTATGTTTTTTTATCCCTTTACTGAACGAGCATTGTACAGTAGGGATTGTAAGCATTGGTAACTTCTGTATGTGGTTCTGATCTTATTTTTCTAATGAGTATAATTATGTGCTTGAGCCTTTTCATGTGGTTTTTCAAATTTAGTTTCCTGATGCTCCTGTGATGTGATTAGTGTGTTTTATGCATGATTTTTTTAATGATATTTAATTTTATTTATGTATCTTGTCCATGTGTTACAGGTTATTCCACGGCAGTTGTGCGACAATGCTGGATTTGATGCAACTGATGTGCTTAACAAACTGAGACAGAAACATGCACTTCCATCGGGTTAGTCTCATTTTGTTTTGTTCTTTTAGCTCTGCGATATGCTAGTGCACGTCTACTTATGTGATCTGTTGACTATTCAATAAGTTTGCTGGTTCACCATTCCTTGTAATACCTACTTATGGTAGTTATAGTGGTGTATATGTGATTGGCTTCCTTTTTCACCATGATACTTATTTACTGATGCTGTAAATCCAGGTGAGGGTGCACCTTTTGGGGTAGACATCAACACTGGTGGAATTGCTGATTCGTTTGCTAATTTCGTGTGGGAGCCATCAGTTGTGAAGGTACGCATCTACTTTCAGTCACTTAATTGTTCAGGAGAGAATTTCATTGTCCTTTTAACAAATTTTTTATACTCTGATCAACCATGACACTATACATCATTTCTTGCAGATCAATGCTATAAATGCGGCTACTGAGGCAGCTTGCCTTATCTTAAGCGTAGATGAGACTGTGAAAAACCCAAAGGTACTGTGAACTCTGTTTCAATGTTGAAGGTCTCTCCTAAAGAGCACGTACTAGCACAATATTCTTTTTCTTAGTGAGCTTTATCTCCAAATGCTTTTCTTTCTTTGTTCCGTGTTTCTGATTTTATACTATCATATCTAATTTGAAGGCTTTTGTTTTTGGTTTCTTTCTTCTCTTGAAGAAGAGAGGGGAAGCTGCCGCGCGTGCGCCGGGGGGGGGGGGGGGGGGGGGG